GTACCCAGATTAGACTTTAGAGCCAATTGATTTAAACACGCAATACGCCATTCTTTCTGACGCTTATCTTAAAACAATGATAACCTAAGATTTTTAAGCTTTATGAAGCTTATTAAATAATTAATAAACAGGATATTTAAAAGTAATTTAATCTTTTATATATCCCATTTTTCTTACCAGACATCTTTTTGACCCCAAGCTAAAAGGACTAATGTACTTTTTACATAATACACTGTAGGTATAATTTATAAGATCTAGGCACTATGGAAATTTACAATGAATACTGTCATTATCATCAAAATAGAAGACGCCTGTGAAAGAGTAAGTGAAGCTTCTGATAGAATGGAACAATAATATTGTTACTCAAATTGCGGCGCATACCTTAAATGCTGTCTCCACGTTCCATTTTCGTATTGTATTTATTTAATTTGGCTCATCTCCTTCACGTTTATTTTGCGTTTCTGTCTAGACTCAGTCTCATATTTTATATTTGCTTATATCCATAGTCAAAGTTAATGCGGAAAATTAACAAGTCGCAAAACTTTTCGAATTAATAAAATTACTTATTTACTTTTAAACCGACTTCAAAATAGGAGGTCCGCAATTCGATTGTATGTTTTTTATGTTTGTTATCTCTGGAACTCCGTCATTTATTAAACGATTTCAAAATTCTTTTTGCTTCGATGTTGGTTTAGCTTCAATGAAAAAATACTTGAAGTCGATTTTATTTTGTGCTAATAAAAATTTAGGTATTTAATTAATACATACGTACCCGAGCAACCTGAGTTCCAATCGTTAATTTTCATTTTAAGTTTCAATTGCTGACAAAGGGGTTGGTGGTTGTATGTTTACGTAATTCGTTTACTGCATCTAATTGCGAGGATATCGTAATAAACGGAGCTTAATCATTAAACTAACACTATCTTTAAGTTGAAACGACAAACAAACTACTCTTAAATTTAGTCATAAATTTTTTATGTGTCAGATTTTATGTATATATTCTTATTAATGCTGCAAATATATATATATATATATATATATATAGATTTATAAAATTTTCAGTCGAAACTTAATTACTCTTATAATTTAAGCTCCACTGACTATCCCAATTGTCAGCATTACTATCTCGGCTGATGACAAATACTTATTAATTAAACAAAAATAATACAAAATATTAAATCCTAATCACTTATGAAAATCATGACTTTCAAATAATTATATTCACTTTCCCTTCGTCGCTTTCCTTTGTACTTAACTGACTAAACAACTGTCTATTAGGTTTTTCCGTATCATCGGTTTACCGTTAGCTGCCATATATTATGTGAGACAATTACGCCAGCCTAACTTAATCCCGATACCAGATATCCAGCGTAGTTAATCCGCCTAATTTTACGACTGACCGTGACTTAAACTGTCGCTACGAAGGACCTTGCCTGTTTTGTGTTGCGTGAGAGATGCTTGTCTCGAGAAAAATCGAACGGCAAGTTCGATTTCTTCTAGTGACGTCCACTGCTTTTTGAGTGAAATAGGTACTCATAGATGTGGCGGAGATACGAGAGTGCACTGTACCAAATCCAGATATCTTGTTCAATTTTCAAAGATGAAGAGTGAGCGTTAATAAAGCATACATAAAATATTTAAAGCATAAAATCATGTCATCGTCAAAATAATAGTCGATGAAGGATAAAACTTCTATATAACCTCTTCAACCGTCAGCTCTTATTGGGAAATTAAATTCGATTTCAAATAAAACTCTTCAGAGCTCTTTGATTAAATAAGCTTTTATGACTTTGTACTCTTAAGTTGACATTATCGTGGATTATTACTTTTTCGTATATAAAACCTTTCTCCGGTCTAATATAAGAGATTAACCTTTTATTGGTCGAATATAATCAAGTATTTTAGTTTGTTGGTGTTTTTATTCGTTTTTAAATATTTTCTAGAGTTGATATAATCTAAAACAAATGCAGCAAACTGAACATTTTATTTGCAATCGTCGTTGGCAGCGTTATGCCCAAAATTTCAGTTTTCAGCTTAAGTTCGTTTTCCATATCATATGCACATTAAGGCCGACGTACCAATTTATGTACTTGTGTTGTTTAAAAAAATACCACATAATTGCCATTGATATAAAATAACCAATGACTAATAATTTAAAAATCTTTTAGTCACCAGTGAAAAAGCTAATTTTATTATTTAAATGATATCTACGGAATATCTGTTCTATAAATACATCATTAGAAAAAGATATTTCCATATTTCCATAACATTTTCCCGCTTCAAGCTCCTTTTCGCATTAATAACTGTCAACTTTTTGCTGTTCTGTGTTTGCTTGGTCAGTTTTCTTTTACCGTTCGCCCTGACTTAGTAGTCTTCTCAAAGTTTTAATTAAATTCGTAACACTTTAAATTGTACACTGTTTTCGCCGAAATTCTAAGAAGTCTCAAATAGATCGAGTATTAGTATTTAACCGATAAATGATAAATTCTGTAAACCGGAGCAAAAGAAGGGTTCCTACTTGCACACTCTTGCTAGCAGAAAGTGGATGTGGATAGCCCCGACGGTTCTACCAAAAATGCGATCGACTTCATCATCAACGGCAGTGTTAAAACCGGCAGCAGTCGCTGCATTTAGAGGCACATTGAACATCGCCGTGAAACTTGACTTCAACGATATCTCTCATCTGATGATCTGGAGTATGACAATGTCAATAGATAAATCTCAAATTCCATGCGACGTGATTTGCAGTCCTATAATCCACATCGTATTAAGGCCGCAAGGCAGCGTAGCCATTTGCACTATATTCGAAACTATTTGCGCTTTGCAAATAGTTTCGAATAGTGCATTCTCATCTATTGAGCAAAGTCTAGTGACGAAAGTAAAGATCAAGGATAGCAGTACCTATTATCTCATCGAAATCGGAAAATCTGAGAGGATTCTAATATACGGATAATCGTCTGGTTTTACATCTCCATACTTCAACCCATTGTCAGAATAGCTTAAGGCAAAAGAGCTAGGCTAACCCACCCAAAACTGAACTGAGGATATGCCAGACGTCATTACGACAGACAAAATTACTAACCAATTTCTGAGAGCTGGTGGAAAACCACCGCTGCCCCTTGTCGGAGGACAACAATAATACGTTATACGCTGACTTCTATAATATGTTGAAGGTCTATAGACCCATCTCTCTCACTCTGGAGTCATTCATATAAACTGTTTTCTAGTCATTACAAATCGTCTCGAATAAAGTTTTGATTATTTCCAATCTACCAAACAAGTCGCGGTTCGGAAACCTTTTCGCACCATAGAACACATCCACACACTCCGCCCAATTTTTAACAGAAGTTTGAGGTGTGGAGAAAGCCTTCGACTCCATCGAGACCAGTCCATTGAGCGATTGACTATAGATTTATCATATATATTATATACGAAGTGGTGAAAAGTTTATACAGAAACGCAACCATGTCTATCCGACTACAAAACGAGAGCAGAAAATCTGCCCATTCGTGCAACAACGAAGACTGTTGCGTGGTCCTACCACCGTAAAAACAGAATCAATGGCCTTCCATCAATTCTATGCCTTTGACTATTTATTTTCTTACAATTCTTTGAATGACAGTGTTTATCTATAAACAATGTCTGGAATGACACCAACGCTTCAGGCTTCTGTGAGGTCGTGATACATCCTCGATCGAGCCTGCCAGTCCGTAAAACAGCCAAAATTGCTGCAAGGTGTAATGTTCTCTACAAAACATCTTTAACACCTCATTAAAACATTAACCCTAATCAAAATTAAACTCTCTTGAATAATAATTGAGAGGGCGCTATTTGAAGTAAAACTTCTTTACGCGCGACTAGAGAGTAACTCGGATTTTTTCTGACGGAAGTAACGTCATAAGTATGTCATATTTTTATGACGTTACTAAATATTTAATCATTTCAGTGATATATATGCCGTCAACGCCAAAGAAGTTTTACTCCAATCGCGCGTAAAGGTTACACGCACACACTATTTTATAACGATTGTCGTTTTCCACCCCAGAATGATCTCAGACTCATCAATGCACCATCTTATTGATGTTGTTGTTATCCAAATTAAAAAATGTTTTCAAATTCGGTATGCATTTCCGAACCGGATGGCACTTAGGGACCTCCGCGAGGAGATTACGACTTAGGGATCTTCAAGAGAGCCTATTCCTACTTCTACTTAAAAAGCCGGCAATGTAATCGTGAGTCATTCGATGTTGCAAGCGTCCACGGGCGGCGGTGATCGCGTACCATCAGGTTAGCCGCTTGCTCGTTTGCCTTCTTTTACCATAGATTATTTTGATTTAGCCATACATTTAGTTATACCATAGATTTACCATAGTTTGATTCAAACTTGATTTGACTAAAAAAACAACTTTTACAGGCTACATTTGATAGGATTTTCGATCAAAAGAGTAATATACATAAGTACTCATAAGTTTATCAGATATAAAACTATTTTTAATTACAATAAAAATTATACAATAAAAGTAATCATCGTTTTTTTTTTTTTATACAGTCTGTATTTTACAGTATAAATAACAACAGTCAGTAGAAAAGATAGTATTATTAGTATATATTATGTATTGTATGAAACAATATTTAATGCAATAATAATTTGATACTTTTAGCTAAAATAGAATTATTAATGTTAGATGATAACATCAGATGTACACCTATCATTTAAGCAAATATTCATATTTTAAATAAATGGCAACACTTCTCACTTTACTACAAGATATTTCTAGTAAGCTGCAAGAGATGTCGCTAAATTCAGACTTGAGCATCTGATTGCTTTGCAAAAACCTATACCAATATGAGTACAATTTGTATCAAGTACATAGACAATTTTCCTTCTGACCATCATAGTCTTTGTAACCAAAGAATAGCATTACACATAAGTAAAATAAGTACTCCTATTATACATTATTTGTCCATTTTTGTCATAACACTTTAAGAAACTAATATCACTGTAACTCTCCACAATTACTTATGGTGACTTTAGTGGAGACAGTTCCACCTTTGCTCCCATATCTCTCCATTTTCTTCAACACGTCAAGACCAGATATGACATGTCCGAATACAACATGCTTGTTGTCCAACCAGTCGGTTCTGAGGATGATAACAATAACATTTACTTATCATACTACAGTCTATTAACATTTAACTATACAGCGTGTCTTTACCATCGCGACAATAAATTAACACACATATAGAGGATAACTTTTTAAAATTGTATTAAAAATTTACAAATTTTCCAAAACAAAAAATTCTAGAACACCCTTACATATAAAACTTTAATGTAAAGTTCATTTGTAAAGGTCACAAAGCATATGAATGGGTTGAATGAATTTAAAAGAGACAAAACATACTGTTAGAAGTAGAGGCTTATAATGCGGCACTGTGGCAACGAATGAAAAAGTCTCTGAATGTATGAATCAGTCAGTTGTAGTTGTATAGGATGTTACAAATTTAGTTTCTTTGTGAAAACTTAATTAGTTTGTTTGAAAAATATTTTTTTTAAATATGGATTTTTTAACGTTAACATTTTTTTATCATTATTGACAAGTAGCGTTAGACGTGTGTACATTTATTTTATATTTATGGTAACGACACGCTGTATACAGCGTGTCGTTACCATCGCGACAATAAATGAACACACATATAGGGGATAAATTTTTAAAGTTGTATTAAACATTTAAATAATTTTTACAGAGTTTTTTCCATTTTAGAACACCCTTACCTATAAAAGCGTAACGTAAAGTTCATTGTAAAGAGTTTTTAAATTAGTTTGTTTGAAAAATATTTTTTTTAAATATGGATTTTTTAACGTTAACATTTTTTTATCATTATTGACAAGTAGCGTTAGACGTGTGTTCATTTATTGTCACGATGGTAACGACACGCTGTATACAGCGTGTCGTTACCATCGCGACAATAAATGAACACACATATAGGGGATAAATTTTTAAAGTTGTATTAAACATTTAAATAATAATATTTACAGAGTTATTAAATTTTCCAAAACAAAGAATTTTAGAACAGCCTTACCTATAAAAGCGTAATGTAAAGTTCATTTGTAAAGGTCACAAAGCATATGAATGGGTTGAATGAATTTAAAAGAGACAAAACATACTATTAGATCTCCTTCTAATGCGGCTTGTAATGCGACGCTTTGGCGCGAGTTGTTTAGGATGTTACAAATTTTGTTTCTTTTTTACTTAATTAGTTTGTTTAAATATTTTTTTTTTAATTATGGATTTTGTTTAAAGTTAATGTTTTTTTATGATTATTGGCAAGTAGCGTAAGACGTGTGTTCATTTATTGTCGCGATGGTAACGACACGCTGTATAAAACTATACTAAATAATTTGATTTAAGAAGTCTCAGCCCAGTAAGACAGAATAATTTTCTTTTTCCTATAAGATGTTATGAAAACTTTTTTTTAATTTCCTCTAACAAATATAAATAGTAAATAGACAAAATAAGTTGACTATTCACAAGTTAAACATAAGATAAATAAATGGCTTACTTAGCAGTGCACAGGAAGAACTGTGATCCATTGGTGTTAGGGCCAGAGTTGGCCATGCTCAAAATACCAGGTCCCGTATGTTTTAATGTAAAGTTCTCATCCTCAAACTTCCGTCCGTATATTGACTTCCCACCAGTGCCATTGTTATTAGTGAAGTCTCCACCCTGACACATCTAAGTTTCATTAAGGTTAAATTAAGCAAATATATTCAATTCCTTTTTTAAATTTATCATACAGTTATATTTTATCATTATATTTATCAGAAGCAATCAAAATTAAAAGTTAATTAAGTAAGAATCAAAACTTTAGAATGCAGCATTTAGTTATATAATCAGTGTACATAGATGACCAACTAATTGACTAATTGATCCTGGACTACTTCTTGTTAGGTAATTTTTTTTGTTTTTTTTATGATATCATAGATATGCCTACCCCATCTTGCTGTCAGCTATCAAAGCAATGATCTTATGCAACCAGAAAGATGTACCTAGTAAAAAGTAATCATATTTATCAAATTACATTTATCTTTTATTCCACAATATGTTTTTATTTATACTTTATACTTTTGGACACATTTTTACACAACATTCTCTAGTCCCAAACTAAGCAAAGCTTGTACTATGGGTACTAGGAAACTGATAAACATACTTAAACATACTTTTCTTTTGTAAATAAATACATATTATACATATATAAACACCCAGACACTAGAAAAACACTATTTTCATCACACAATATTTTTTCAGTAGTGGGGATCGAACCCAGACCTTCTGGCACAGCAGGCAGGCACACTACCCACTACGCCATTCGGGTCAAACAAGCATTTAAAACAAGCTCGCAGTGTTTATAAATGTTCAAAACCTATATTTATAAATTATAAATTATTGAAAATTAAAGTACTCTCATACTATGCACACATCATTTAAGCAAACAAATAAGTAAAAAAGGATACAAAATCGGGAATGATCCTATGAAAACTGCTTCCTTGGTATCCAAAGCCCTTCTCATGAGTACACAGTGCTCTAAAGTTCTCAGCTGTCTTTGGTACTATATCATTTCTGAGCATCATTATTATTCTACCTAACTCCTGTTTACCAACACAGATGTCAAAGTATACTTGAGGGTTTCTCTTTTCCGTGGGTTTTGCTGTTATTGCCTGAAAATGAAAAAAACCATGACACAATATTATTTAAAATATACAAGACTTACCCAGTTTCTGAAACACTGATCATCATAGATGTCAACTAATCAGCTGTGAAATGGCTTTTCAAATTACATTTTAGTTGGCAAAGATGATAAAAGAATTGCTGAAATTATTTTCCGAAAATACTAAATTACTTTAATAATCACAGATTGTTTTACTCATTTTAACTGTTTTCGTCTGGTTTATTGTCAAACAAATTTCCTGTTCTCCCCACTTACTTGTAGAAACTTAAATAGTATTATTATATTAGTATTTATCCATGTATAAATCATACCTAAATTTATTGCACTGTTTATCACTGTTTTTTAATGTTGTTTAATGTTACTGCTTTATTTTTTTTTTTTTTTAATTTTCTTGTTTTAATTTTGGATTTTGTAACAAAAGAAAATATTTTTAACTGTATTTTTCTTGCCTATTATATTGCATGCTGTCAGCTCCTTTAATTGTAATGACACTAACGAACAGTTCATGTATGTTTATTTTCCTTAGTCTTAAAAAGTGTACATCATGTTGGCATTCTTTAAATAAATAAATAAATAAATAAAATTGTGGTTAAAATCTTAATGATCAGAATGGTCAAAGAGTTTAACTATCCTTTTGGCAACTCAAATGACATTTGAAAAGTCATTTGACAGCAGATTAGTTGACATCTACGATGATCAGTGTTTCAGCAACCTGGTGTAAGAGCAAATGGGGCTGAAGCATTAGACTTGATATGTTAAGGTTTAAACCCCAGAGGTGTCCATCAATGAAATTAAACATTTTATAGAACAAACATAATTATTACATGTCTCTCATTTTTCAACAAATCTGAATGAGTCAGCGTTCAACAAGCTGATTCATTCAGACATGGATGGAGTTTTACAGCAAGTCAATGTCAATCCCTTACAACACAAAAGACGCTAGTGCTTGTCATTACACAATTAGATTTGAATATAATATGCTCACAGAAAAACATAAAATACTGTGGTTATATTCAATATGAAGCTGTGAAAAGTCATAAAAACATTAATAAATATTATTCCTAAGTATTCATTTTTACTTTAATTTTGACAAAAACTAGTAAGGGGGAAGAGTCTATTAACAAGCAAAACTTCACTTATTTGTAAAATAACACTAATACTATTAATATATTAATTAATATTATTACTTGGTAAAAGAAATAGATTAATTTCTTTGTAAGTCAACAGAGATATATATTGTTTAAATAAGCTATACAGAAACAGCAGTACAGATCATTGTTCACTTGCCTTTGTAAAACCGATAGAGGAATTCTAAGGTTATTAATTGAAATTAACCTTTTCTCAGGTACATACAACATATAATTTTAATGTAAAAAACTTGTTTACTAACATTAGCTACTTCCGTCTTCTCATTAGTACTATCCTCCTCTCCTTCTTTATTAATGGGTAATGTTTCTCCAGCATGCTTCTGTAGCCAACTATCTTCTGACCAAACAGGTCTAGTTGAACCTTCTTTTATTCTCTGTGGTGCTGCTATATTAACCCTTATTGTTCTACCAAATAGCTCGGAATCATTCTGGAATGATAATTATGAAGGTCACATAAAAATAACAGGCAACAAAAATCATCCAAACATGGTATTTTCTTAAAAACACGCCTAACTTGTTCTAATGGAAATTAAAATATAACCATACCATATTATCAATAGCAGCGGCTGCATCTTCAGCATTTTCAAATTCAATGAAGGCGAAACCCCTGTGTTTCTCTGTTTCGTAATCTAAAGGTATTTGCACATCAACTAAGTCCCCAAAGGGCACAAAAGCGGCATTTAAAACTTTCTCGTCTACTTCCTCTGCTAAACCACCCACGTATATCGTACGTTTTGAATTAGGTTTGCTGGACATTGTATTCATTTATATGAAACAATTGCTTTTAATAGTTCTAGTTAGTTAAAATCCTTATGTTTTGTTTTAAAATAATAACCTGCATAACTTTTGAACGGCAGTTAAGTTTTGACAATGACATTAACGTCAGTGATGCCAGATTATAGAACTGGTACTCAAAACATTTTAGAGATAAAACAATAATTGGACATATTCTTCATAAATAACATTTAAAAACAGTTTTTGAGTAATGCATAATGTTTTAAAAATATATAACAATTAACTAGATATTAATATAGCACGTAACAGGGCCGGCAAAATAAAAAATAAAAATAAATTATTTCTTTAAGGTCACTTTGCCAGAAATCCTGTACATTTACTTAAAAATATCTTGATTCAAATTGTGTTTGCATGTTTGCATTATATTAGAGAATGATTCATAGCCACAGTAATAATAAATCGGAATATAATTGGAACTAAAATTAGATAAAAGCTCTATTATTTTATCATCCAGTAACATAGATCTCTATTAAAGTTTTCAAGCTCAAAAGTTATGGAACTTGGTCTATAGATGCCGTTTGACAGTAGATTGAGCGAAGATATTGCTGAAAGGCAGGTATCCTGAGATTTAATTTTTTATTTTCGTTTATCATGCAAAAAGTTGTTTGATTTGTTTGTTTAAAATACGGATGATAGTTAGGTAACCAATTTTCTATATGATTTTAACAAAATTGTAAAATTGTTTAACAAATTTTTTTACATTACTTGGAATACGAATTCTAGATGCTTATGTGCCAAAATGTCATAAATTCTAGAAGCTTTTGTGCCAAAATGTGTCCTTTCCAATAGTTCAGTCATTCATGTTATTATAGCTCAACTGCAAGAATAAGGACTGTTTTCTTAATTGCTTTTTGAGTTATGAACTTATGAGTCATATTGTAGCTGAAAACCTCTGTAATGTATCATATTTATTTTACTTTACGCACTGTACATACTATAGAGTAAAATAATGACCACTCAATTAGAATATAATGTCTCTCAGTCCCAATCCCATCTAGCAGAATTAGATAGAACGATTACGCGTAATATGTCACACAGTGAAGAAGCATTAACGCCACCTTACGGAATCAATCCAAAACCTCATTTTAAGTAAAGTTATTGCCTACAAAATAGTTCAGAAAACATCCGTCTCTATTAACAATATGTTAGTGACTTCTCACAGGTTAAAGTTTTATTATTTTTAATTTGATGATAATGAAATTAATGAACCAAAACTTCCACGTTCCTATACTACGTATATTAACTCTAATTAATGATCAAGTATTTTATTTTAGTTTAGAATTTAATTTAATACTGTATAAGTTTATATTTTCGAAGGCACCCAAGACCTCTATGTATATAAGTGTGATCGAACGAACATCTCCATAGAATATATAGGTACTTGTTGCATTTCCATTTGTCAAAGATTTATGAACGTCAGATAAGTTTTATCCATTAAGTTTAATCACAACAGGTTACTACTATAAGCTCAGCAACTCTCTTATCAAATTTACTTTACGACTTCTAAAATCATGTCACCGATAAACACAAGGTATCTTGTGTTTATTGGTGACATGATTTTAGATCACGTTCTTGTCTTTACACACAAACAGGATATGATATACGCTGTAGTTTTTAAATTTTAATTGTGTCTTCATATATAGATTTGTCAGGCGTGGGCTGACAAATTTTTGTTTATTCGGTCATATGTTAGTCTTAGTGCTGTGTTTAAAACGTTGCGTACTCAAATATACTAAGTGTTATAAATCAACGATGTTACTTAGGCATAATCGTTTACACGTCTGCATACTGGTTAACAGTTACATCGCCAGAGCCACACGCGTGATAATCTCTGTCTTACGTACATTTTATATAACCGAATGACTTACATTTTGAAATGACAATGAAACATAGATTTGATTGCATGACAGCGTTAGTTGGGCCTGAAAATAAATCAAACGCATTGGGTTGTTTTCGAACCCGCATATAGTAAGGATACGTCACTTATTATTACGTGTTTCTTCCATGAAAAACAAGGGCGACTTAGTAATATTTTAGACAAAGATATATTTTCCATCTGGACTAACTGATAATAATTATAAGCAAATTGTCTCTCTTCTTTATTTTCTTTATCTTCTTATTTTGTTTCTTTCTTTCTTCCTTTCTTTCTTTATCTTCTTATTTTGTTTTGTATCTTTTTCATAAGAAAAAAAAAGTGTATGTCTACTTATGTACACGCGTTAAAAGTTATACTTTGGCGTAATAAGATAAAAATCTTTTCAAAAGTTTTAAAGCCTTTCTCCTTATTCTACGTTTGTAGAAAAAAAGACACTAACAATAGAAAAAAGGTATTTAATATATTAAAAGTTTTATTATAATGCATTATCTAGTTAAATAAAGTTTATTTAACTATCACAATATAAATATCGTGAATACAGTTGTCAATTCTCACGCAAACATACGTGGATGTCCAGCTAACTTCAGGGTGTCGGTTTTTCGTGACGGTGTGCGCGCGCATTATAAAAATTTACTCTCATCATTTTTCCCTAATGCGCCAAAAGTAGTATAACTTCAAAAACCCCTAGCACTAAAGATAAATAGTTCATACAAAAAAAAATTAAAATACGTTATGGAAACAATGACCATCAACCGCTAATTAAACCAATGTCTTGACCACTATCAAAATTGAAGTTTACGCGCGCGAGTGTCTTAAAGAAGTACATAACCGTTGCGCATCGATGCATTAGGAGCAAGACAAACAAAAACATGTTTGTTGAACCAATAAACATGGACCGTGCTCCTAGCGGTCAGCGTCATCTACTTAAAGATACAGATAATCAAGATTGCACTGACGTAAATACTGTCATTGGATGAAAATAACTGTACTTTACAGGCAACGCCAACGGTTCCCATCGTTCTGTCTTCGTAAACAAACAAGTACAGTAAGCTTGATTGTAAATATAAAGTGCCTAATAAAACAATTTAATGTGCTTAAACCATTCGAAACTTTATTGGTACTGCTTATGTAATAAAAAAAACATAATGTACTGGTATAAATAGTAGGTAACGAAGAATAACATTAAATCCTATTAAAAATATTAGGTTATATAGCATTCCAAATTCAAATGGTATTCAAGCACAAACATAGAAATGAACCACATGACATAAATATAAATTATGGTAAGGTAAAAGGTGTGTTAGTCCATAAAATACACAGTGAACATTAAATTTAAAAAATACATCACATGCAGTTTATTGATGTCTAAGCTTCGCTTTATTAAAGCTTTCCTAATTCCATTTCAATATTCAATAGGTACTATGGAGATAAGAAACCAGACAGAATTAAGCACATCCTAAAAATTTCTCCAAAAAGTCGCAACTTTATTAATATTTATCAGATTTTCCACGAACGCCATTAAGTATTGATTAACGCTATAAAGTTTGGTACAAACGTGAAAGTTAGTTAGTTAACAATATCTCCGAAGCCTATTATTATCATCGAGATTTTTGAAATTTGTCAAATCAACATATACCGAACAACGTTTACCGAAATTGTAAGGATAAAGTTGGGCGTCTCTTTAAAAATAAGCTACTCACAAAAAATCCGCTTGTTAGTAAAAAAAAAGGTGAAAATTGGCCTGGGACCAGCGACTAATATTTATTATCGACCATCTGTGAGAAGCCAGTTGCCGGTAGGGCCAAGAGAGCAGTAGGCTCGAAGCACATTACCAGCCAATCACGTTATTAGCAGTAACGGACGCAACTATAGTTTAAAGCAGTGTTCCTCAGACCTGTTATCTCCCGACGCACGTACAAGATCCTTTAGCCTACATGTTTTCGCTTTTGTAAATGGTTATATTGTGAAACGAATAAATATTTTAGGCTAACAGAGCTATCTGAATGTCCCTTCAATTGCGTTTTGCAATTTGAGAGGGTCTCATTCTAATAATTCATAATCACTTAATATTTCAATTTGGATTCTATTAGATATTCAATTTTTAATCTTAAATGCTAAGTTCTGCACGTAAGATGAAACTAAAACGTGAAGATGAAACTTTCGCAAAATGTTTCGCGTTCTACGCAGCAGTGATTTGGACCTAAAATTAAAAAATAATTTTCAATAGCAAAAGGCGATATCGCCAGTTTACAATTATTAATTGAAAATATGTTATTTGAAAAAGTTTGCTTGCTGTAAAGGACGGTGGAGGTGTGTTGCTACCTTTTAAAAAAAGTGGGTCCCGGCTACCTCACTCACTAGACGAAACGCCGAAGTATAACACTTCTATTTCTGTAAGGTCATGTTACTTCCCCGGACGGACCTGTCCATCCGTGGAACAGTGAACTCGTGCGTGGTCCTACCAAAGCAAAAAGTCTTATTATTGCCTTGATCTTACATACAAAGTTATTAATTTCTAAAGTAATATTAAAATATATTTTAAAACGAACATTTCATTAATTATGTTTATAGTTGCAATTTATAATACAATTCCTACGAAAATAAAGACATATAATTATGACCGACAAATCATTTTTTCAAATTTTTGCTTTTGTCCATGTTCGATCGAGATTAATAATCCCAAAACTTTTTATGCCAAAAGTTTACAAAGGACGGCAATAACAACACCGTTTTATGGCATTGTTAAAAAAATTCTTCGCGCAAGTTACCGAAATATTTAATTTATAATACATTTAGCTATGTTTTATTTAATATAGTATTTAAGTAATAACAAATTCTCAATACGATAATAGCATATCTAAAAGTCTTCGATAGCTGTTTCTTAAAATGAATGGGAAATCTTCCCGGTATTTCCCACAAACAGCGAGAAATCTCCATTGTCCGTCTTTGCATACTCTCAACTGACCCCTGGTTGAACTCTAACGTTTATGCGACGGAGTACTACTAGGCGTTATATAATTTATCTGCATTAACTGCCATGACTTTTGTATAATTTTACCGCTTGGTCTAAGACCTAGGAAGCAAC